GCATTCACCACGTGTTGAATGATGAGTCCAATAAAGGATATTATAATAATAATATACAAACGTATTGATTGAAATTATTCATTGCAAACAAATTATAGCAATAGAAACCAATGGCGGGTCCGCACAAGCGTTCAATCAATGCCAGTGTCTTAAGCCTTAAACGGATCGGTATTTTGGGATTTCGGGCCAAATATGAGTACAGCAGTGGACGCGGCTTATGGGCTGTCTTTGAGATCCATGTGCTTAGTATATAAATGCCAAATACAGCTAAAATAATTAAACCAATTATTATTAAATACGACCATCGAAAGGCCATGGTCAGTTTTGTGTTATGCAACACAAAGTTACCGATTTGAACGCCAGGCATAACGATATAGTAAATTATAAATGTAATTAAACGGAAAAAGTGATTCATATCGGCTGTCAATTTTACCAAGAAGTTGTGTTCAAGACATCACATCTATTAATAGCTTATCACTTACTGTACGGATATTTGTCATCGTTTGTGATAATTAGGGTGACCAACTCAAAATTTTCAAAACCGGGACATTTCATGAAAATTATAGAAAATTCCGGGACATTACAAGACATTTCATAATTTACCCAGATATTTTTTAGTTAAATCTAATTTTCCCCGGGACGCTCAATGGTATCTATAAAAACCCCGCCGGGACCAAATGGTCAAAACAGGGACTGTCCCGGCCAAACCGGGACGGTTGGTCACCCTACTATGTATGCGTAAACACCTGTATATACGGCCAAAATTGGTGCCTTTTATTAATACTACATCACATGATAAAATATATAATTACATGAATAACTTTTCAATAAAAGACCAGATCGTTTACTTAAAGCACCCGAGAATATATTTAAGAAATGTTTGGTTTATAGACCACTATCTGTCAATATATCAATCAGTAATATCAGCTGTACTGATATAACACCCGTACGACAGTCTATTAGCGCCGGTTGTTATTGTATGTCATTTTTTGAGCAAATAAACGGCCAGTCGGACGATAGATACCGGATCGACAATACACCGGGCAAATCATCGCAAGTTATTAGAATTATGAACACGTCTTTTGGCAGTAGTCTTATGTTACACATACACCAAAGGGACCACACAATTAGGCGCCAATATCAACTTGGTTACATGAATGTGGCCACACATTATGGGTATATAATTCTGGAGTACAGGAAAACAATTGTCAAACTACTGCCCAACCCATACAATCCCGGGTGCGTTGATTACAAAGCCCGGCGTCTGGGCTACCGATTCGACTGTTGGGCAAACTGTCTGTGGGATCGCTTGTCGGCCGCAAACCAGTCATTGCCCGACAATTATCTCGTTTACGATCGGAATCTAAGTCAACGATTTGTCGACGCTAGTAAATTTGGTTCACTGGACACATCGGGGCCGGAGTGTCGAAAAGCTTGTTTTAAACATCTTTATTGTTACCAAGAACATTATCACCTTGTGCAGAAAGAACACTTTGAACCATGGTCAATGAACAGTTTGCACAATATCACTAAAAATTTATCGTTTAAACGTCCCTCACAGCCTATGATTACATACATACAAACACCCAAATTATCATTCGTTGAGTTTCTGTGTCTGATTAGCAGTATATTCAGCCTATGGTTCGGCTTTTCAATGCTATTTGCATCTGATTTATGCGTAAAATCTGCGATAAATTTCATTACAAATATTTATCATAAAAAACATTACACTAATAATACGATTGTTATCCATAATAATCAAAATGTACATTTAACATCAATGAGGAAACTTAGGAGAAGAGCAACTATAAACAATTTATATCTATAACTACAAAATTTAATTTTTAACCCCAATTCATATACATGTATGATTATTCATTATTCATGTGCAATTCAATTTAAATTTAGTTAGAGACAATAAAATATTTATTAAGTTTACAATTGAAACTTGTTAAAACAAACTAATAAATTAACGATCCATGTGTATTTTAAAAAGTTTTAAATAAATATTTTTGTAAAATAGTTTTAAATAAATTATAAATTATTGTTTATTATTGATATAACTATTCAATAAATTTGAGATTTTATTTAGTATAAGTAACTTAATAATCTGGCAAATTATGACTTGCTATTAATAGTATCAAGATTAGCCAACCCCTTAATCAATAGTATTGGCACCGAAAATACTTGCTGTTGTGCGGGTGCGGGCAATGCTGGCCAATCGCATTGCTTGGCCGGTGTATAACTACTATTGTTAATATACACTGTAAACGGCAATACATTTAATTTGTGTATTAACTTGGTGCTATCGTTTGGCAAAAGTTCCCTGGTCAGTGTCATCCATTTATTAAGGTAGCTGTAAATTGTGTAAAAAATTATTAGTATTTTGTAAAGCTATTATAAAATATTAAGTAAATTATCTAAAATGTATATTTTTAAATAATTTATATTTACCATAATGTATCATTGATTGTGTATTTAGTTCCCGGTTTAGATACGGCCATTAATGCTCGCGTTAATCCATTGCGCGCAGGTATTAGCTTATGGTTTATGTTATATATTTCTTTACGGTGTTTCATGAATTTATCAATTTCAACTACACCCATTATACTACACATGGTGATCCACCCGGTAGTTATGTGTCTAGCAAATTGGTCAGTAAACTGAGTGACCAAGGGGCCTTTGTTGAATCTTTGATAGTCGCCATTTAAATATTTTAATAAATGTTCATACGCTCCAAACAGACTATATTAAATAAATAATTAATTTTTAAGAAATTGTATTTAGAGCATTTACTTATTTACTTGTTTATTTATTTATCTATTAAAAGGTATTTAATGCTAGTTTATTTTAAAAAGCTAACACAATGTTAAATTTTATTTGGATACAAAATATAAGTGGATATGCTATGATCGCAGGTAAACTTCCTATAGAGTTGCAAAAGTTGTAACAGAGAAATTTATAAAATATATTGTTTATATATAATTTGTAACTTAAATTATATTTATAATATTTGTTCACTTTACTTTTTGCAATTGGTTTTGAATTGTTCAGTTGTGTCGGCCATTGGGTATTGTTTATCGCCAAAACTGTTGAGTGGGCGCAACACCTGATCAAACTGCAGTTCGGAGTGTGTGGTCACTCTACCAACTATTATAATTAAGTAGTTATAATCAAAATTTTTTAATTAAGTTTATCAATATTTATTTTATTTTTATTTTGTGTATAAAGTTTGTAAGGTATTTGTAAGTTACTAATTATATTTTAATGCATGTAAGTAATAAATGTAATATGGCAGTTTTTTGTTATTCATAAAATATAAAAGTAAATTATTATTACCTGTGATAAAAACTAAAATTATATTTAAGCTAGACGCATTTAAAATCATTCTTACTTTATTAGTTTGTTAAATTGTTATTTAAATTAACAATAACTTAAATGCACAAATAAATATAAAATTGTTTTAGTAACCATATGTTACAGATTTTAATTAATTACATAAATTTATTTAATATAATGTATAATTTTTCCATTACACGTGTTAATTAATTAATTTTAAAAATGCCAAACTATGGTTTTATACATTTACAACTTTGCTTAAGTAAAATAAATAATAGCTTAGTTTAGTTTATGTTTAAATTTTTAATAAAAACTAACAAATAATAGTATTATTAAAATTAACTATTATTTTATATACAAATACTTCAAATTAATTTGACAAATATTAATAGCAAACATTTGATTAAAATTAATACTAAACGTTTCTCTCTCTCTCTCTCTCTCTCTCTCTCTCTCATAATTTAGATTTCAAATATAATTGTAATTAATAAATTGTATATGTTAATATAATTTGCCATTTTAATAATTAAAATAATTGTAATGTAAATGTTTTCATGTGAATTCATAATAGTATGCTTTAAATTGATTATAGTGAAAATACTTTTTATATTTTAATATATGAACAGAATAGATAAAAATAATTAACATTATTACTTATATAAAATATTGTGAATTTTTTTCAAAAAATTATTAGATTTATAAATTTTAATATTGAATTTGCACAATATTTTTTAAATCAGTTATTTATAAAAACACATGTATTTATAAAATTGTATTCTCTTATTTTTGTCATATAATTAATTATCAAATAAATTTTACAAATACAAAAACATTAAATTTTTAAATAAATTTTATTTAAAAATATATAAAGTTAAATATTCAATTAAATTAGTTTATCAAGTTATATAAATTTATTGTAACAATTAATAACGCATTGAATTCTATTCTAATATTAATAGTTTTTTAATCAAATATAGTACTAAAATTTTAATATGATAAAACTAACTAGTTAGTAGATAAATATTTAAATAACATAGTTTTGTAATGTAAATCTTTTCAACCTGTATAAAAATTATTTGATTTAATTAAATATGTGTATTTAAAGGTTATACAATATGACGTTTATTAATTTGATTAATACATGTTAATCTTGTGACAGGTTTTAGAAAACCCGGATAAAAACAGCTATTAATGATGTATAAAATTTGTCCAATACTGTAAATTATCGATTTAATATAAATAAAAAGATAAACGTACGATGTCGTGCAGTTAAGTAAAATTTGTGTGATCTTGATAAAAACAATAGACTTAACAATAACAACACATGCAAGACATTAACAATAGAGTTAACCTCATTAGATTAATATTGTGGTAAAAATTGTTATTTTATAATAAAACATTTATTGAATTTAATTTAAAACTTAATATAAGTCGTAATATTAGTAATTTGCTAACATAGAGGTTAAACTGTATAAACAACACATTTACTGTCAACTTACAGTTAATTAATAGTTATAAAGCAAATGCAAATGTGAATACAGATTTTAAATTAATCGATATATGTCAATTTAAAATTAAATTTAAAAGTATATAAAGAGTGATCACAAACCTATTAAAATCACCAGTTGTTATAATCAGTAGATTAACAACTAATAACCATAATGGGTTATAATCAAACTTTGTCTTTAGCGTTAACAGTAGTTTTACTGTATTTGTCGGGCCAGGCGTTTGGATCATGGGATGGCCGGTGCGGCAATATGTCGGCGAACAATCGTATGACGGGCGGAGATATTGCTGATCGGGGTAAATGGCCCTGGATGGTTAAACTTCATACATGCAAAGATACGTTTAAGCCTGAAACGTGCAATTTTACGTGTGGTGGTTCGCTAATTAGCGATCGGTATATACTGACCGCCGCCCACTGTGTCCAAACAGGCCAGTTAATGACCGCCACGTTTGGCGATTACGATAGTGTCGCTGACGAGAGTACAAAAATTACCGCTCAAATCGAAATGGTAAGTAATTGCCTGATTAAAAAACACAATATTGTACAATAAATTTATAATTATATTTGTTTAATTCTGGTAATTATTTTATTTTACAAATATATAATTTTATTAAATATTAAATAGTGATTTTTTATTATAAATTTTACAAAAATTATATCATTCTAATTTACGTTTATATATTTTTAGAATTTCAATCACCATGAATACGACATACGACATAATTTTCTTAATGATATCGCTCTGCTCAGGATAAAAACGCCGCTAGATCTGAATGATGAGCATAAGCGTTTCGAGCCTATATGCCTACCTCGGCCTGATCTGCCCACACATTTGGGCGAAAAGTGTGTGCTCACGGGTTGGGGACAAACCGAGAGTAAAAAGCTCTCAAGCGTATTGCGTCAAATTGATTTACCTATCACGTATGATTATCGGTGCGAAGAAAAGTTCCCATGTCAGTATTTATTTATATAAAAGATTTTATGGCTTATTAATTCATATGCTCTTGCAAAATAACTTACTAACGGTATATATATATATTATTTATCTAGTGAGTTATAATCGCGATACGAAATTTTGCACCGAGAATTTACATGGTATTAAGAGTGCATGTTTTGGTGACAGTGGCGGACCCTTGACCTGTCAACTGGGCAACAATGGTTGGGTTGTGCGCGGCGTTGCGGCGCATATTGATAAACTAGATTGCACCGGCAATATCAACGCATTCACACGCGTAGCCCCGTATACAGAATGGATTGCAGGAGTAACTGGACAACGGCTTAGTTTAGTTTAACTATGATGATTTAAAGTAATTACACTTATGATTGTATAATCATACTGGATCTTGATGTAGTATTATTGTTTCAATAAAGCATTATAAAATTCATAAAATTTTTAATTATTTCTAAGCCAAGCAGTAATGCTTTTTATAAGTATTACAACATAACGTTTGTTATAAGTTTACCTAATTGAAATAATAAATGTTAAAAATAACACTTCCATTACCGGCATAAACAGGTTGCGCTGCTCTACCTCTAATAGTTTTTAAAATTATTAGGCAACCTTATTTTGAATCGTATTGATAACTTTATTTCAAATAATACAATTTACAATTAAATTATAAAATTATAAATATATTTTTATTATTTTTATTTGACAACATTAAAAGCATAAGAATAATAAATAAAAAGTTTATCGGAATATTTTATTACCATTAAGATTGCCATTAAAATCATTTTGACGATTAAATACAGTGACATAATTTTTATTATTATTCATCTGGGAATTAATCGTTACAACCAATTGATTGTTTACACCAAAAGTACTACCAGTGCTCGTAAACTGGGATTTGCAAAAACTGAGACAATATCGACACAAATCCCATACAATATCTGTAAACATAATTACAGAGAAGCCGTACCAAAGGCTGAGAATACTGCCCATTAGAACCATATACTCTTCGAAATACATTTTAGGGTAAATTTCATAGACAGTCGTCGGATGTGAGGGTACCTTAAAATATAGCCTACACTCAGGACCCCAACCAATATGATCCCTGATATAATCAATAGCGTAAAAATACTGATGACATTCGACCATGGTGTTGCACTCCATTTCGCACATGGTATTAATCTCATTAAACATATTATTATTAGCAAAATCATTATCTTTAAATTTTTGAAACCATAAATTATTATTGTTCACGTCGTAGGCCAGGAACTTATTTGGCAACTTACCTAGCTGGCTCATAAACTCTCTGATATTGCACGAGTGAACGCATTCTTCCCGACCCTTCCCTCCCGGAAAACACTTTGCCCGGTAATCGTCGGTCATATACCGGAGTACAGTCTCCTTGTAGTCAATGCTAACGTAGTTATACTTTTCAATGTTAATACCCAACGCCTCCTTCCGGTGCGGACTGTATATACGGCTATGCCTGGAGTGTATGCGTAGTCTGATTAAATCACCATGCTTGTGCGAATCGGCCAAGTAGGCGGTTTCGTTTACCCTGATATCCAAATAAAATCTTTCTTCAATACCGTTTTTCAACGCGTTGTTTAGCACGTATTTCTCGTCATTCGCGTCGTCCATAAACAACGTGACGCACATATACTCCCACTCGAGCGCCACCACGTATTCGGTGAGTACTGTGCAGTTTTTGGTGACACTTATGTTGATGTATTCGTTGAACAAGTCGAACTGACATACGAAAAATGTATACGGCTGAATCAGCATGGTCATTTGCTGGCCAACAGAGAGCTTGTTGAATTTTTCCATGCTAATTCTTGTTTTGTTTTTCTTATCCAGGTACTTGTATGGGGTTTTGTATTCAGGTTTAATTAGCGAGCCTTTCATAAAGCAAACTGTTATTGATGGCAAGTCTACCGTTGTTTTTGACTGGTATTTGACGTTAGTTATGGTGTCGTACGAAAAGTACAGTTTACTTATTTGATACGTTTGATAGAGTAAACCGCCGAAACATAGTATGTTAATTAAAATTAATTTGATGGTCAATTTAGTTTTACAATATGCTAACATCTCTATATTATTAGCCATGATTGAGCTATGGATATTATTTGTTATTGTTAGTTTGTTACTGAACTAGTTATTAAAGTTATTTTGTTCTTATTTCAAAGTAGTTCATAATTGCATAATAAAAGTAATGTTAGTATTGATTTGACCAGGTAACAAATCAATACCTTATTGACTAATAATTATTTATTACCATATAATGAATTTTGTGCAACTTAATTACATTGTTCTTAAATCAAAATAGCTTTAATGATTATGTAATCGTATATTTGTATTTACTGTAATACGAATAATTATTATTTTTGTATTAACATACAGTATAAAGCTATATGCTGTAAGTTTATTAATGATGTGTATTAAATAATTAACACATATTTTTGAAAAATACATTTTAGTACAATAAATAATTAATATCCAAATAAAATAATAAATTGTCTTCATATACATGTATTTTATAGTTAAAAATTATAAAGTTAAAAAATCACTTATTGTATTATCCAATTTTGTACAATTTGATATACTGATCATTAAAATTTAACATGTAAACTTTAAATTGCAAGAAGTTACAGTTGCAAAGATTTGATTACCTTTAAACACTATACTCATATTAAACCTGTTTTAAAAAATCCTAATATACCTCTCAAGTCATATTTTATACAAAAACAATTTGGCACAGTATATACTGTAGTTTGTCAAAATCAAACAAAACATATCAAGTTATCACAACTTTGAGTCTTTCAGAGAAATACATGATTTGATTTCATTTCTTAGAATTCATTTAATAATATTTCGATATAGTTTCTTTTATATATCAAATGCTAAGCTCACATGGTGCAATGATATACCACTTAAAATTGTTATAATTGGTAAAATTGTTATAAAATACATGATAACATGGACAAATTTAAGTTTATAGAAACTCATTATCAATACATTCAATGGCTATACAAACATAATATCCAATAATAATAATAATAGGATAATCATAAGTTTATTTTAAAACTTAATTTTAAAACAACATTTAGTGATTTAACATAATTTTACAAAAACTACTAATATTAATTTATTAAATATTTTTTCACTAAAAAATATTTAATTTAGAAATTGTTGATGTGTTTGTCACACATAGGTTACACTGTATATCATAATCACTTCTATTTAATTACTGAAAAAACTATTTGCACTAGGATTAGTACATTACGATTAATAGTGTTTGAGTACTGTATGTAACTTATCATGTTAACTGATTAATGTTGCCAATTATTATGAATTCTATGAGTAATCTATATTGTTTTAAAATTCAGGCTTAAATCCGTGTTTCAAAATGATTTGTCAATAATTAATTGGGATTTTTTTTAATATAAAAAGGGCTCAATTTTATTTACAAAACTTAATTTAAAACACAGTTTTAAACTTGGTTAATTAACTGGAAATAAATCTGCGTCTATTACTTTACGAATACAACAGAACAATGAATTATAAATGTATGTATTATACTATTATTAAATATTTTTATATTTGAAACCTCAATTTAGAATTAGGATTATTATAGTTTTTCAATTCTTATTATAAGTTAAAGAAATTGTTCTCTTATATATTTTTCAATGGGTGTAATGTTTATCCTATGACATACCTTGGTGAATGTTAAATCTATGATTGTACTGTTTTTATTTACATATTTATTCTTAAGATGCATTTTTAAAAATAAATCACCATTATCCCGTTAAGTTAAGTTAATGCTTTTGTTATTGCAAAATTGCTTATAAATTATACAGATGTATGTAAAATGTTATTAATTTTAAATTAACAATTTGTTTATTAACATAACCCAACTCACGTACAGTATATCTATTGGCAATGTTTGCATTGGTAAACACCGGTATGTCTGACAACTGCCCGATTGTATCAATTCAAGCACCATGCAAGTTTACTAACGTGGGACGTGATTGCCAGATTATATGCGGTGGCGACGAACAGATGAATATAACAGCAATTATGGTCGACTTGAATGCTAAGTTACCGGCGGGTGATAACAAATTTAGTTCATTACGGTTGCAAAACAAGGCTATCGACGAACTGCCGGCCAACGCGTTCGCTGGCATAAAATTTAACCGAATCCAAGTCGAGGCCCAGGCGTTGAAACACATTCATAAGCAGGCGTTCAACGGCACCGACAAAACACTGGATACACTCGTTATACTTGGGTCGCCGGTCAGCGAACAAGTGGACCGAGAATGGGATCTATTCGGTGCCATTCGTACGCTAAACAATTTGTTTGTCTTACAAATTGAAAACACCCAAGTCGCTACTCTGCCCAGTAAAGCCATATCGAGTCTGCATCAATTGAGCCTGGTGTTCGTGTTTAGAAATACATTATTAAACACAATCTCTAGCCAGGCGTTTAACGATTTGCCCAAGTTAGATTACCTGAAAATTCATGACAATCCAATCAAAACAGTGGCCGAACGGGCGTTCACTGTTGGCGACGGCCAATCGGGCCAACGGTTAGACCTGTCAATCAGCAAATCGTTGACCGCCGAGTCGTTTGCCGACCGGGCTTTCGATGATATGAAATGCGCAGTCAGTCTATCCCTAAAGGATAACTCTGTTGTGTATTTGAAACGCGAGGCGTTTGAGAATTTTCTATCGGCGAACCCCAACAATACGATCGACGACCCGACTATTGTTTGCGTCAACAGTAAAAACGAATGGATTAAGGAGATATTCCCCGAAGTTTGGAAAACATTAAATTGTAATTGATCATTTAGAAGTGACATAGATCATTAACAATGACAATATTAATCTGTATTAAGTTGAAATAAAATTAATTGTTATGCAAAATTGTTTAATAATATATTTAATAATAACTTATTAATATTACAATCACAATGAATATTAATTATAATTGTACTAGTCATAATGATAGGCTATTAATCTTAAGTAAAAATCCATATTTGAATTAAACTAAATTACTTATATGTTATAAGTGGTAATTTCAATAATTATAAAAGTAAACATATATTGAAAGTTACTAACTTATTATTTAATGCATACTTGTTATACAAAAATGCTTATAAAGTTTATAAAATGCTTATAATATAAACTTTATTAATGCATAGCTATATTGCAGTTACGATTTCAATGATTGACTGTATTTGTGTGGCGCCGGCGATAAGATTGAAAGTTTTGCACATAATGTTTATTAAATGCATTTAACGTAATATTGTTAATAGTGATCGGCATAATTGACCAATGATTGTTACGGTATATTAATGTCGATAAGCTTGTAACTAATTGCGGTAAAATATTTGTAAACAGTATGAATGAATAGGTTTATATAATCTGACAATAGTGTAGATATTGTTGACGACCTTGGCAATCCATAGTTATTTGTGTTGACATCATATTAATCAATACACAATATCTAGATTAATAGATAAATTAACTACTTATAAAGTGTGTTTAGTGCATTTTCTACACATAGTCTAATATTAGTGCACTCACGTTTAGCATATAAATAGAAAACTCCTCGTTGTTGTCTATCATTAATATTTTTATTGATAATTTTTTTAAACTTATAAATTAAATAATATTTTATATTTAAATAATGCCAATTGACTTGTATTACAGCAGATTCAGTGGACCTTCGAGGGCCGTATGGATGACAGCCAGACAATTAAAACTTGATTTTAATTTGAAAAATGTTGATGTTAGTATCGGAGAAAATACTACACCCGAATATATTGCTGTAAGTATTTTAACTTGATACCTATAACTTAAATTGATTACTATTAGTTTCTATTTAATAAAATTATTATTATTAATATTATAATATGTATTAAAATAATTTTATGGCAAAAACAAATAGCGCATAATTAAATATAATTTGACACTTTTCAATTCTATTACAGTTAAACCCTAATAAAGCGGTGCCTGTAGTGGTGGACGACGGGTTCGTTCTATGGGAGAGTCGGGCTATACTGCAATACCTGTGCAACCGATACGCGCCGGACTGCACTCTCTACCCAAAAGACCCGAAACAGCGCGCTCTAGTAGACAGAGCTCTTAATTTTGATTATGGTATTTATGGTCAAATTGGTGATGTTGTAGTAAGTGTAGAAATTAATATTTCATTGTTGCTAGTTGATCAAATAATTATTAAACTATTAAACTAAACATATTTAGATACCCAAAATATTAATGAATATGGAGCCAGCGGCCGATAAATTGGTCAGGTTACATGCAAGTTTCAAAATACTGGATCAACTAATTGGCGCCAAACGTTACCTGGTTGGCAACCAATTGACAATAGCTGACCTATCTCAGTTGTCTTTGAACGCTTATCTGGATATCGGCGGCATCGATGTCACTTCATATGCCAGTTACCAGCGTTGGTTGGCCGGGCTTAGGGTAGAGTTGACTTATTTTGACGAGATCAACTTAATCGCCCCAAACGATTGGCATAGTTTTATGGACAAGTATCGCAAAAACAGGCTACCCTCAATTTCCAAATAATATTTGGTTGACTATTCTATAAAGTGTTTCATTTTAATTAATTATATTGTGATTATAATTTTAGATGTTGTTTATTTAGGTTTAGCAAATTTAAACATGAAAATTATAATTTATAATGTAGATTTTAAAACAAACTTGTAAAATTATTATTTCACCTTTAATACATATATTATGTATTACACACTCGTTTCATTTATTAGATGCAAAGTACAAATTAATACCCACTGTGTAATTTTAATACCCATTGTATGTACAATTTAATTAATAAATAAAATAATTCTGATCAAACTAGCTAAAAACGATATCTGCATTTACTGAATAAATTATAAGATAATATTTCTATAATCATAAAATTCATTATAATTTTAATATCACTAACTTATTGAATGAGGCATAAATGTATTAATATTGCATTAATTTATAGCTGTATTGAAGTTACGATTTAAATGATTGATTGTAAATTCATTAAACATAATACTGTTAAGAATAATTGGCGTAATTGGCCGACAATTGTTACGGTATATAATTGTTCAAAATTTATGAATTACTATGAACAAAATATCTTTTGACAATAATGCCTTTGATAATGTAGATATTGTTAACAACCTTGGCAATTTATAGTAAATTGTGTCGACATAATATTAATATAGTGTAGATAATTTTATTACTTGTATATTGTAGTGTTTTTAGTGCATTTTCTACACACTGTCTATCTAGTATTAGTGCAATCAAGTATAGCATATAAATAGGAAAATATTCAATTTTTCTAACATTAATATTTTTATTGATAGTACTTTTAAATAATAAATTAAATAATGCCAATTGACTTGTATTATAGCAGATTCAGTGGGCCCTCGAGAGCCGTATGGATGACAGCCAGACAATTAAAACTTGATTTTAATTTGAAAAATGTTGACTTAAGTGTCGGTGAAAATACTACACCCGAATACATTGCTGTAAGTATTTTAATTTGATACTTGAAACTTAAATAAATTAATATTGGTTTGTAATTAATAAAATTATAAAATATAAATTAGAAATAATTATATTTGTTTAATAGATTATTTTGTATTTAGTATTCATTATTTTAATAGTTAAGTAAATAAATAATTATTTAAGTAAAATAATGATAGTTAAAATTGAACTAACGTTAATTATGGTTAAAACAAATAGCGCATAATTAAATATAATTTGACACTTTTCAATTCTATTACAGTTAAACCCTAATAAAGCGGTGCCTGTAGTGGTAGACGACGGGTTCGTTCTATGGGAGAGTCGGGCTATAATGCAATACCTGTGCAACCGATACGCGCCGGACAGCACTCTATACCCGACGGACCCAAAACAGCGCGCTCTAGTGGACAGAGCGCTTAATTTTGACTATGGTATTGCTGTGCATATTGGTTATTTTATAGTAAGTGTAAACTTTACAGTGTAAAGTTTAATATAATTTAAGGGGTCTAGCAATCTTAATTTTCAAATGTATTAATTAACAATTAAATGATGTAAAATGTTTACAATGCAACAATATAATGTTGCATTGTTGCTAGTTTATCAAATAATTATTATACTAATAATTAAACTATTAAACTAAAATCTACACAGGGAACCAAACTAATAATGAATATGGAACCAGCGGCAGATAAATTGGCCGGGTTACATGCAAGTTTAAAAATTCTGGATCAACTGATTGGCGCCAACCGTTACCTTGTTGGCAACCAATTGACAATAGCCGATCTGTCTCAATTATCCTTGAACGCTTACCTGGATATAATCGGCATTGATGTCACCCCATATGCCAATTATCAACGTTGGTTGGCCGGGCTTAGGGTAGAGTTAACCTATTTTAACGAGATCAACGTAATCGCCCCAAACGATTGGCACAGTTTATTGGACAAGTATCGCAAAAACAGGCTACCCTCAATTTACCAATAATATCTTGTTAACTATTCTATAAACGCTTTTTAGTATATTTTACAATATCACAAATGTTTTAATAAATTTTATTAAAATAAATTAAATTCTGTTTATTGTATTGTATTTACTTAGATATGTTGTATAACTTATACGATATAACAATTTATATTTCTTGTAATATTATTTAAATATAAAGTTTGTCAAAAATAAATTCTGTATACATTATAGCAATTATTTATAAATATTTCAATAAGGTAATTATATATTATAAATTGTATAAACATTTATTAAAAATAACATAATTAAATTTTTATTCTAATTGACTATGTTACAATAGAATGTGTCAAAACAAACGAATTGAAAGTATATATTAATGCAAATTGTAATTAGAATTTAATTATTAATATGAAGTATCATGCGTAATATTTTAAAAACAACAACATTTATTACTTTTGACAAACAGTAGGTAAATAGTATTATAATAAACTGACCAATAATAATTAACAAGAAAAATAAAGCAAAATACAAACATAAAGTAGTTAGGTAAAAATAAATACAGTAGCTGAATTTGTATTATTGTAATTAATAATTATTTATTGCGTTATTTAGCAAATAATTGTTGACAATTATAATTTTGCTTAAATGTATTTTGTTTGGTATAATTAACCCTAGAAGCTTAAACTGGGAGAATAGTCTCCTATTTGCACTTTGAATTTTGATTAAAAATCAATGAAGAGTGCTAGCCAGGAAAAAATCCAGTAATGCCTCATAAATTGTTAGATTTAAAAATTGGTAAAATGATATGATTATAAATTATATGATTAATTAATTATCATGGTTAAATTAAAGTTTGGGATACTATTCTCCCAGTTTATGCGTAATGTAACTTTTTTCACGCAGTATAAATAGTGCTAATTTTAATCTGCACTTAATGCATAAACTGGGAGATTTATCTCCCACCATTAAACTGCATAAATTGGGAGAATAATCTCCCAGCATAAACAGCACTAAAGCGTGGGATATTAATCTCCCAGTTTATGCACAAACTGCTGGGAGATTACGATCCCAGTTTATTTACAACGTTCATAATTATAGTTTAAGCTTTAAGGGTTAAAAGTTTTTATTTTAATACTATTTGTATGAATAGATTAGTGAACATAAGGACCGATACACCAAACCATAGGCCGAGTAGTGATCCCATGAATACCACGTACTCTTCAAATGACATTTTCAATATCTATCCCGTTATTACTATAGATCAAGAAAGTGCAAAAGATAGTCTTTGCTCCTATGCTCCCATAGACATTACATTATTATAAAACAGATTTTCCCCAATTTTTACCCACCAAAACATCTATGCTATAGATCTTCAAACTTTTTAAATGCATATTATGCGCCAAGGTTAAAGTTAATCACACAGTATGAATTAATACAGTAGCCAATCATCATTAAAAGAGAAATTATTTTTAGAAAGCATTTTGGCAGGATTGCAGATTGAAACATTTACAAGGTTACATTTACTTTTGCAATAACAATCAATGTTAGCATTAATTATATATAATATTTCCATAACGTGATTTGGTGACATTAATTTGGTCGTAGTTGAAATAATTATATAATCTCATAGAAATACGGTATTTAATTATAATGTCATGTTTAATTATACTTATATCAAACATAAAATATTTGAATATGAGGTATAAAATTAAGTTTTATTTATAATATAATACTCATTTCCATAAAAGTAATTCACACAAATTATTATATATTGTAGTTACATATAAAGTTTAATACTAATAATGTATAATAATAGTTATATTTTAATGTAAAATAATAAAATTAATTATGTTGATAAATTATTTGTGAAATTATTTTAAGAAGAATTTATTACTATTATAAGAATTTATTATTATTATAACAATTTATTATTATTATAACAATTTATTATTATTATAAGAATTTATTATTATTATGATTGTACTATTTATATAATTACAATAAAAATTAATTATAATTATGTTATTTAGTACAATATATTCTATGACGTCAATTAAAAAATAAAATAAATATATTGATAAAAGATTTTTATTATCTATTTATTGTGAATTAAACACTCATTGGGTCAACATTATAACAGCGTATTTAAATTATTCAAGTTGAATAACTAAACATGGTTAAAATATTAGATCTAAATAAACCTATCCCACTTCATTTAAGAGTAAATGGGGCTAATAGTAAATTGTACCGCATTGGTTTATCGCTGTTTAAGCCTGAATTATTGGATTCAAAACGAGCTAGATTTTATCACCCGCTAATTGTATTTATAATATTAACTATAATAATGGCAAAAATGTCGATAATTGTATTCATGCATTACAAACAAGTTAGCGCACCAGATGTTCACCATATATACTGGGGTGATGTGGATCATTTTTCCAACACTGGATTCACTATTAATTTATTAATTTTATTTATATCAATATTTGCCTTATTATCGCAATTCATAAATTACTTTAACCATAAAAATGACATAAAGCCCAACGATATGCGCGTATTTGAAATGATTGCCGGTTTAATAGCGCCCAACAGTATTGGAATTAACGATGCTACTTTTGTCGTACGTTTAACTAGATTGCTTGGCTGGTGGTTTAGCGCTGGAAAAATTATTGTGCTAATTACCTCTTGTATGGGTTTTACATATACATTTATAGTCTATGCAATCTTCATTAAGCATGGTTATTTATTTGTTGTGTGCCTGGCACATTCTGCCTTCCATGCAATATGGGGATTTTATGCGTTTAACATTGTCATCTATCAAATGGTGTATTTTATTGTAATAACATTTTATTTTAAATTTAAGATTAAGGCATTAAATACTGAAATCAGGAATAATTTACATAAAGCCAAATCTAAGGTGAATATTGCAATAATAATAAAGTACATAAATTTAATCTATGTTGAAATATCGGCGTATAATTCAATTTATTGGTCTAAATACTTGCTGGTCGTATGGATAACAATCAGCTCAATCATTAGCCTTTCAGTTTATGCTACAATGTTTTCAAATATAATATTCTTGTTTAAGTTTATAACATTATATATCGGTATATTTTTTACATGTTGTTTGTTATATATAATTAATATATCATCGATAATTTATAATGAATCAAAAATTATGTATAAATTGTTAAATTCATGCATTGCTAATAATAATATTCAACTCGTGGCTAAGTTTAAGGTTAGTGATAAAAAATATGCCATGATCATATTAACTTTTTAATTTGCATCATAGTTAGCAAATATGATTCAAAGACTTGGCTCTAAAAAAATTGGGTTTTATTGTTGGAAATTATTTATTATTAATAGATTTTGTGGATATGAAGTAATTATAATTTATATATTTTATTTCAAAATTAATTTTACATTTATTGCATTATTGATTTTATTTTTATTATTTTTATGCAGATAATATCTATGGTTATAATATTGTACATGAAATTAATTGAAATTGAACAACATTAATAATGTTATTAATGATACGTTAGTAAATACTTGTGGTAAACAATAGTTCTAACAAAAAAAAATGATAAAATTAAATTACAAATTTTAACCATATATAAGTGTATATTAATTTTTATTTTAAGTACAGATACACATCATAATTATAAAACTCTAGATTTTATCCACAATTATTTTAAATTTTGCTATATTGAACTTCACACATCTTTTAATTACCATGTTTATTTCTAGCGTTGGATAACAAATAAATTGCTGAATTTGTATTATTGTAATTATTTGTTGTGTTATTTAGCGAATAATTGTTGACAATTATATTTTTAGTTGAATTTATTTTGTTGCTAGGCATAATTAAAATTTTTAATTTAATTACTATTTGTGACAATATTTTAGTTAAGAATAGTATTGATAGACCAAACCATAGGCTCATTAGTGAACCGACAAATACCACGTACTCTTCAAATGACATTTTCAATGATATCTCGTACACAATATCGGGTTCTGAGGGTAGACTCATGTGTATTGAAACACCCGGTCTAGTATTTGGACCTTGATGATCTTGCTGATAATCAATTGAATAATAATGTTGCAAACATTCCACCCCATTATTACATTTATTTTTACAATCATTCTCAATACTAGTGTTGTATAAATACTTCGTAAATGGTTTAGTGCTATTACGGTAATCATTGATGTATATGAGATACTGTAAGGGCAATACTGAATACTTGCGGTAATAATCCCTAACTGTACACTCATTAACACAATCATCTCGGTTTTTATTAACAAAACATCTATCACGATTGTTTATACGGCGAGTGTTCATGGTGGTTTTACGATACTTGACAAAGCATATGCTGCTATTTCTAACATCAAACAAAATAACATTTTTCTTGAATACATCCCTAATCCGTTCGTAGCGCTCGTGTAGTCGTATAACTAGGCTATTAAACATGGTTTTATTAAATAGATTTACCGAGGTATACATGAAGATTTTGGTGCCCGAACCATTCATAACGTACCGGTGCTCGGGTTCGGCCATCCATTGGGAAAATACGGTCCAACAAACTATTTTAAGTAACTTCATAATAGATACTCTATATGGTGAAGTTAAATTACACCATATTGGTCCATTTGATGATTTATAATATTTGCAACTAAATAGTTTGTAGTGCGGTAATAGCGTTGCCAACTGTTCACTAATTGATTGATTAAAAAATTTTGCGTAATCAATGTTATGGGGATGTTTTGAGATGGTATATAAGTGGGTAAAGTTTGGTTGTATTAATGAAGGGTTAAGTTGTGTACATATGGTGAGCGCCGGTGGGCTAAACGCGCGGCCCGTTTCAAACTTGATGTTTGTTGTGGTTTCGTATGAGAAATATATTAAACTCATTTTATATGTTTGGTATAGAAATCCAACCAATAGTAGTGTTTTCAACATAAAAGATTTTACACATAATTTAGACAACAATTTTTTAAACAACAATTTTGCAATAATAATCATTTTTGATGCATAATGCTTTATAAAAATCATTATGGTTTTTGTTCATATAAATATATAACCTACAACTTTACGTAAACTAAATTACAAGTAAATAATTTGTTAATACATGTATTGTTTTATTTTAATTATTACTTGTACTAAATGTATTAATACATTTTGAATTATCATACATATAATAATAATATCATTTATAACAACAAACTCATTAAATATGCAATACATAAATCACTATTGCACATTGATTATAATGTAATATTTAAATTTTCATAATAATATTCGTTTATTACATGTATATTTGTATTGAATTATGTATTAAATTAGGTTGGCATAATAAAAACATTAATTGTCAATCAAGTTATTTTATAAATACAATAAATAATAATATATTTCGTAAGAATAAACTTTCTTTTGTATAATTCAATAAGTAATCGATTGCACCATTAATGTTTTACTGAATACGGGTATTGTTAGTTTTACTTTTACAAATAAAATATAATTATTATGCATAAAAACAATATTTATTATTGTTACAATGATACACATTTATTAAACAATATACAGTATATCCCGAATAATTTATAATTAATATTAATTAAGTCAAAACAAATATTTGCAAAATTAATTATGTTAGTTAAATATTGTCGCGTATAAAACTCACCCCGTAAAATATAAGTCTTATAGTATATTCTTCGTATTAAGATGTATAAAACAATACCTTTAATACCGACATTTGGTATTAATTGACAATATTACTATAGTTTCTTAAATTCTGTTGATCAGGTGTTATCAACGCGCGAAAAAATAATAAGAGTATCGTACGGCGTTTCAATAGAGTATAATCGGCCTAATAAGACATAATCTACCGGCTAATATACTAATACTACGGTGGTTAGACTTATTTACGACAATATAATAAATATAAATATAGTTATATAACAAGTAAAATAAAATATATGAAGAATTTGGTTTTTAGGATTGCGCTGCCAACATCCCCGAAGCTATGGGAATTAACATGATGCTACAATTTATATCTATGGCTATAATTTAACATGAACGTTATAAACAAATTATTTTTCAGTTTGTCATGCTTAAGCCGATGATATAGTAATTATTTTATCATTTTGACATCGATTTGAACCCCTATTTTGTCTCGGCTTTACTATACTGAATAGCATTATATTTTGTGATGAGATATAATTAATATTATTATTATTATTAATAATTGTTTTTTGCTTTTTATTACAGACCAATGTTTTATATTTAATAAACAATTGTGTGAATAGATTAGTAAACATAAGGACCGATACACCAAACCATAGGCCAAGTAGTGATCCCATGAATACCACGTACTCTTCAAATGACATTTTCAATGATATCTCGTATATGACATCGGGTTCTTGGGGTAACTTCAATACAATGGTATACGTATTATATTTTTTACGGTAATTATTTAAGTGATGGTCAATATAATAATAATGTTGTTCGCATTCAACTCGATCACTGCATTTACGTTCGCACATCCTATTAATAGTATGATTAAGTTTGCTCCCAAAATTTACTGGTTTATCAACAAAATCAATATCAGTATAAACTAAAAATGTTAAGGATGTTCCCGGATATTTGGAATATTCCCGGAAATATTCCCTAACTTTACATTCTGTAATGCATTGAGATTTTGATTGTTTTTCAAAACAATTTTTGTTTCCCAAAATGTTGCCAAAATGTACACTTGTTTTTCTATATATTATATCACATTGACTGTTATTACGTGTATCAAGTAATAACATATGTTTAGTTCTATGAATATCCCTGATTCTTTCGTAACGATTATGTATGTAAACATTCAAACCGTATGACTCGATGATTCGTTTATGCAGTTCCCATAAAACAATATATTTAATTGTGTAGTCAATGTTGTCCACAATATACCGGGTGTCCGACTCGGCCGCAAACTGAGATAGTATTGTCCAACAGATTTTATTAAGTAATTTATTATATGATATTCTATAAGGTGTACTTTATTACATGGAA